AGCATGATGTAATCCTGTTGGTCTGTTTTTGCTTTTTTGCTTGTGCTTTTAAGGTCTTAAAAAACCTCTTTGCCCAGACTAATGTCCTGTAGTCATTCTCCAATGCTTTATTTTAGTAGTTTCATACTTTCAGGCCTTATATTTAAATCTTTAAACCATTTTGAGTTGATTTTTATGTGTGATAAAAGATGGGAATCTAGTTTCATTCTTCTGCATAATGATATCCAATTTTTCCAGCACCATTTATTAAAGAGACTATCCTTTCCCCAGTGTGTGTTCTTGGTATCTTTGTCAAAAATAAGTTGGCTGTACATGAATGGATTTAATTCTAGGTTCTCCATTCTGTTCTGTGGATCTCTATGACTCTTTCAATGCCAGTGCCATGCTGTTTTGGTTATGATGGCTCTGTAGTATAATTTGAAATTAGGTAGTCTCATACCTCCAGCTTTGTTCTTTTTGCTTGGGATTGCTTTAGCTACATAGGGTATTTTATAGTTCCATATGAATTTGAGGATTTTTTTTTCTATATCTGTGAAGAATGTCATTGGTATTTTGATACGAATTTCATTGAATCTGTAGATCACTTTGGGTTGTATAGAGATTTTTGGTGAATATTAATTCTTCTAATTCATGAACAAGAGGTATTTCTTTATTTTTTCCTTTCTCTTCAATTTCTTTCATCACCATTGTATAATTTTCATTATAGAGATTTTCAATTCTTTGGTTAAATTTATTACTAGGCATTTTTGGGGGTAGCTATTGTAAATGAGATTGCTTTCCTGATTTCTTTTTCAGCTAGTTCATTATTGGTATATAGAAATGCTACTGATTTTTGCATATTGGTGTATCCTGCAACTTTAATGAGTTCATTGATAGTTCTAAGTGTTTTTTAATAGAGTCTTTAGGTTTTTCTAAATATAAGATCATGATGTCTGCAAACAAGGATCATTTGACTTCCTCGTTTCCAATTCGGATGCCCTTTATTCCTTTCTCTTGCCTAATTTCTCTGGTTAGGAACTCCAGTATTATGTTGAATAGAAGTGGTAAAAGTAGGCATTCTTGTCTTGTTCCAGATCTTAGTGGAAAGGCTTTCAGTTTTTGCCTGTTCAGTATGATATGAGCTGTGGGTTTGTCATGTATGGCCTTTATCATGTTGATTTACGTTCATTCTGTGCCCAATTTATTGAGAGGTTTTTTTTTTTTGTTTTTTTTGTTTTTGTTTTTGTTTTTGTTTTTAATCTCCAAGGCGTGTTGCACTTCATCTAGTGCTTTTTCAGCATCTATTGAAATGATCGTGTGGGTTTCAGTCTTTGATTCTGTTGATGTGGTATATCACATTAATTTATTGGTTTATGTTGAACCATCCTTGCATCCCTGGGATGAATCCCACTTGATTATAGTGAATGATCTTTTTAATGTTTGTTTGTTTATTTGTTTATTTATGTATTTTTGCATGCACCCACTTCATTTAATTTATATTTATTTTTTAATAATTTTTATTTTAAAATATTATGGTGTACAAGTGTTCTCGTTACATGAATGAATTGTATAATGCTAAAGTCAGGGCTTTTAGTGTGCCTGTTACCATAATAGTAACATTGTACCCAATAAGTAAGTTTTTATGCCTCACCCCCCTCTAATACTTCTCCCTTCTTAGTTTCCAATGTCCTTTACACCAATTTATGTCCATGTGTACCCACTATTTAGCTCCCACTTATTAGTGAGAATACGTGTTGTTTGTTTTTCCATTCCTGAGGTACTTCACTTAGGATGTTGTTCTCTAATTCCATCCAACTTGTTAAAAATGACATTATTTCATTCCTTTTTATGGCTGAGTAATACGCCATGGGGTGTGTGTGTGTGTGTGTGTGTGCGCGCGCACACACACACACACCACACACACATTTTCTTTATCCACTTATCAACTGATGGGCATTAAGGTTGATTCCACATCATTACAATTATGAATTGTGCTGTGATAAGCATTCGAATGTAGATCTGTACTATAACACAGGACTTAAATAGGACTCCAGAACAAAAGGACCTAACAAACATTTATAGCACATTCTACCCAAAAACTGCAGAATGTACATTTTTCTCATCAGCATAGGGAACATTTTCCAAGATAGATCATATGTTAGGCCACAAAACAAGTCTTAGCAAATTTAGAAAAATTGAAGTCATATGTATCTTCTCAGACCACAGTGGAATAAAACAATCAATTCCAAGAGAAATTCTCAAATGATACAAATATATGGAAATTAAACAACCTGCTATTGAACAATCCTTGGATTATTGATGAAATCAAGATGGAAATTTAAAAAAAAAATTCAAATTGAATGATAAAAGCTACAAAAGCTTCCAAAATCTGTGGAATACAGAAAAACCAGGGCTAAGGGGAAAGTTCATAGCCTTAAAGGCTTACATCAAAAGACAGAAAGATCACAAATTAGCAGTCTAATGGTATTGGATTTAATATTTCCATTTTCATTTCTGATTTTATTTATTTGGATTTCTCTTTTTTTTTTAGTTTATGCTAAAAGTTTGTCAATTTTATCTTTTCAAAAGACCAACTTTTTGTTTTGTTGATCTTCTGCAATTTTTTGTCTCTGTCGTTTATCTCTGCTCTTCATTATTTATTTTTTCTATTAATTTTGGATTTGCTTTATTCTTACTTTTCTACTTCCTTGAAGTACATTTTTAGGCTACTTGAAGTCTATTTTTTATATAGGTGTTCATTGCTATAAAATTTCCTCTTGTACTGCTTTTACTATACTCTATAAGTACTGGTATGTTGTATTTCCATTTTTATTTGTTTCAAGAAATTTTTTACTTTCTTAATTTCTTCTTTAATTCATTATTTGTTCAGGAGCATGTGGTTCAATTTCTTTGTATTTGTACAATTTCCAAAATTCCTTTTGTTATTGATTTCTAGTTTTATTCTGTTGTGGTGAAAAAAGATACTTGATATGATTTTGACTTTTTTGAATTTGGTGAGACTTATTTTTTGACCTGGAGAATGTTCCATGTGACGATAGTAAGATGTGCATTCCAAAGCAGTTGGATTAAATGTTCTATAAATGTGTGTTAGGTCCATTTAGTCTAGAGTATAGTTTAACTTTGGTGTTTCTTTGTTGATTTTTGCCTGGATGATCTGTCCATTGCAGGACGTTGGGTATAGAAGTCCTCTACTGCTATTGTATTGCCATGTGTTTCTATCTTTAGATCTGTTAATATTGGCTTTATATATTTGGGTCCTCTCGTGTAGATAGTCACTTAACCACAAAGGAAGATAGTAAGAAAGGAACAGATGATTTACAAAACAATTAGAAAATAGGTAACAAAATGGCAGTAGTAATTTCTTACCTATCAATAATAACATTAAATGTAAATAGACTAAATTCTCTAATTAAAAGACATAAAGTGGGTAAATTGATTAAAAAAACAAGACTCAAAAAATTCTGCCTATAAGAAACTCACTTATAAAGAAACACATATACTAAAAGTGAAGAGATGGAGAAAGATACTCCTTGCAAATAGAAACCAACAAAGAGCAGGAGTAGCTGTACTTGTATCAGATAAAATAGACTTCAATACAAAAACTGTAACAAGAGACAAAGAAGGTCATTATATAATAACAAAGTAGTCAATTTAGCAAGAGGATATAATTACAGTAAATATGTGTGAAGGATCTACTTCTAAGCTCTCTTAAATGACTGTTACTAGACGTTTGTTCCTTAACACATGAGTCTCTCTCCTTTGGGCTGCTCAAAATAGACATGAATTCTCCTAGAGTGAGTGATCCAGGAGAGAATCTTGAGAAAGAAAGAAGAACAAGGAAGCATGCAAGGGAGGGAGAAAGGCAGAAGAAGAGGAAAACCCCAAGATGAAAGTGTAATTCTGTTTTATAACATAATCTCAAAAGTCTTATACCATGACTTTTACCATACTCTCTTGACCTCACAGAGCAGTCCTACTATAATGCAGAAAGGAACTACACAGAGTATATATACCAGGAAAGGCAGGGATTTATTTAAAGTAAATAGTATTACTTTAAGTAAAAATTAACCATAATTAAGTAGCATAAAATAAGCGATATCTGCGTTAAGTATATCAAAACTGTCAAATTCTTTTAACTGTCAGTAGCCCTATGTTAACACTCTGAATATCATAGTCATCAAATGACTTTTAAATGTAGTTTAAAAGAATTCTCTAATTCTTCATTAAAAAGTGCTCTCATCTTCAGTGCTTTTTTTTGGTGAGGATTTAAATAAAATGTTTCTGTTAATTTTAAATGAAATTAAAACTATAGTATATAATCATTTTAAAGAAATATATAATCATTTTCTTGTATATGAATTCTCTTTCCTATAAGTATTTATCTTTAATAACAGTAATCAATTAATAATAAACTTTATCCCTGAACAGCAAAATTTTTTTATTCTGCTGTATTTTTTATTTTTGTGAAGTTTCAGCATTGATTCTTTTCCCCCAGAAGTTTAAAATGAAAATTACTTCCATAGTCATTTCATTCTCTTGGGACCTAAGTAGGTTTGATGTCATTTCATGGGTACAAGGGATTCTATAATGACTGACTCATTTATTTATTTATGAATGAGATAGGGTCTCACTCTGTCACCCAGGCTGGAGTATAATGACATCATCATAGCTCACAGCAATCCCAAACTCCTGGGCTCAAGCGATCCCCTTGCCTCAGCCTCCTCAGTAGCTAGGACTGCAGGTGTATGCCACAAAGCCTGGCTAATTTTTTAAATTTTTTGTAGAGATGGGGTCTTGCTATGTTTCTCAGACTGGTCTCAAACTCCTGGCCTCCCTAATCCTCCCACCTCGGCCTCCTAAAGTGCGAGGATTACAAGGATAAATCACCTTGCCCAGCCTGTAATAACTTTAATATAGCCAACTTTATTATAGCATTTCTTTTTATTTTCTTAAAATAACAGAGGCATAACTAATTGAATAACTTTGTCTTATTGTTATAGGTCTCCTAAAAACCCAGAACAGAAGATTATTAAGAGAGTGATTGCTCTTGAAGGAGATATTGTAAGGTAAGTACTTAAACTGCTGTTTCTGAGTTCAAGTTTTAAATATGTAGATTGTTGTTTGGTTTTAAATCACATTACTTGGGAAGTGCATTTCAATTCACAGGGCCAAAGCTTCAGAGACATCCCAGATGAGCTGATACATCTTTAGTGAGCTTCATTAACTATTTCAGAATGTAAGGCTTAAATAAGCTTAGTGATCAAATTGTCATTCTTTACTTGTGAGGCATAGGAGAAATAAATATTAATTTTATACAGTAATAAAATTAACCACATACTCTAAAATGGCTATTAAATCATTGTTTTTCAGATATTAAAATTAGCACAATTATTTTAAAATTATAATATCAAGATCATTTTAGAAAAATTCAAGCTAATACGGAAACTAAGAGTAATCTTTTATAATCATAGAGATGGGAAAAATTGCAAAGGATATGAAAGAGAAACTTCTGAATCAGTGACAAGAATGGAAGCTTTAGATAGTAACATTGTAACAATCAGGTATTTATGCATCCTGTAATAATATTTATTCTACTTGCTGATAAATCAAGAGAAATGTTTGCAATTCAGCAAGAAAATATTTATGTGACATGACATGTCTTGTTTTGATTGCTTTATTTAAATAAGTTGTAGCCAGATCTATAGAATGTGGTAGCCAAAATGCTTTAAAACCTACATTCAAGAAGTTTTATTATCCTGTTTTCTCAAAACACTGAATCCTAAAGTATGTGTATTAATGACAGTACATAAGCGATTCAACAAAGTGAACCTCAGTTGGTTTTAGAGCAGAATCGAGGCCCACAGTTCTCAAAAGGTGGCCCGAGGATCCTGGGGGATCTCCAAGACCCTTTTAGGGCGTCTTTGAGATCAAAACTACTTTCCTAATAATATTAAGACATTATTTGCCTTTGTTACTCTCATTTTCTTGTGTGTGCACAGTAGAGCTTTCCAGATGTGTGATATTGCAATAGATTGAATGTAAGAGCTGTTTTTCATTTAGCCAGACACTAAAAATACTTGAAACATCTGAAGCATACCACTCTCCTCACTATTTTTCCTTTGTTTTGAAAAATAACAATTCTTATTAAAATCTATTTGTTAACATGGGCTTATTGTTATTTAAATTGAATCAATACATAAAGATTTTTAGAAATTCTTTATTTTAATATCTAATGTGGTAAGTGCTAGCATTGCACATAAGCAAACATCTTTGGGATCTTCTATTATTTTTAAAAGCGTAAATGAGTTCTGAGACCAAACAATTTGAGAGCTTGTTGATACAGGAATCTATGGCAAAAATTTTCAGGTGAGGATTAACTGCTCATTAGTAGCCTGCGTGATATTAATGAGGCTATTGTATTGAGTTGTGGTTTGTATGATTTATCTTTGTGGATATTTGGTTGGTCTCTTTTTCCTTTTAAAAGATTTTTTGAGGCATAATTTATATATGATACCATTCTCCCATTTTAAATATACAGTTCAATGAATTTTGGTGTAAATTTATACAGTTGCACATCCCTCACCACAATCTAGTTTTTGAACACTTATGTTACCTCTGTAAGTTCTTTCCTGTTTGCACTTAACTTCAGCTTCCACTCCTAGTCTCAGGAAACTACAGGTCTACTTTCTGTCTCTATAGTTTAGCCTTTTCTAGAAATTTTATTTAAATGGAATTATACAATATGTAGTCTTTTGTGTCTCTCTTTCTTTTTTAACTTAGAATAATGTTCTGTGTGTTTCTCTGTGCTGTGCATGTTATCTGTGGTTCATTTTTATTGCTGAGTATAATCCACTGTATGGACCTCCACATTCTGTTGATCCATTCACAAGCTGATACACATTAGGATTATTTTCAGTTTGGGGATATTATGAATAATATGATAGGTATTTGTATTAATACCATGAAATTTTGCATCTTTTGGTGGAAATATGTTCTCATTTCTAGTGGGTATACAGTCAGCCTTCTGTATCTGTGGGTTGAGCATACCTGGATTCAACCAACTGTGGATTGAAATTATTCAGAAGAAAAAAAAAAGATGGTTGTGTCTGTACTGAACACGTACAGACATTTTTGTTATTACTCCCTAAACAACACAGTATAATATATATATAGCATTTACATTGTATTAGATATTATATATATAGCATTTACATTGTATTAGATATTATATATATAGCATTTACATTGTATTAGATATTATAAGTAATACTGAGTGTTATGGTAAGTATGTGTTTAACTTTTTAAGAAATTGTCAAACTATTCACGAAAGTGGCTGTACCATTTATGTTCCACCAACAACATACAAGAATATACAAGGGTTCCAGTTTCTGTGCACCCTTGCCAGCACATGGCATTGTGAATATTTTTGAATTATAGCCGTGCTAGTGAGTGAGAGGTAGAATCTCACTGTGGTTTTGATTTGTGTGTCTCTGAAGACTAATGATATTGAACATTTGTCCATGTGCATGCTTGCCTTCCATATATCTTCTTGGGTGAAGTGTCTGTTCAAATCATTTGCCCACTTTTGTATTGGGGTTGTTTATATTTTGAGTCCTAAAATGTTCTTTGATTTTGATTATTTTGATAGAGTGAGCATTTTGGGAAGGTGTATGTTTAATGCTGGGATTTAAGTCAGGAGTAAGTGTATAAGTATAAAAGGGCTTAGTTATCATTTCTTATAAAATATGCATTCTAAATTGGAAGAACTTGGTGACATTTTTTTACTTTTGGAAGAGCCCATCCAACCTTCTGATTTCAGTAGGAAACTAGGAAGAGAAAACCATTTTATATGCACCTGTAAATATCCAAAATATACTTTTTATAATTAGAAAATAATATATGGATATCATGCAAATCCCATTCAAAGAAGAATCAGCAAACCTTGAAAACATTATGCTAAGTGAAAGAAGCCAGTCACAAAAGATAACGTATTATATGATTCCATTCATATGAAATATCCAGAATATGCAAATTTATAGAAATGGAAATAGATTAGCAGTTCCCAGAAGCATGGAATAGGGAGAATAGGAGTTACTACTAATGAATACAGGGGTTTTAGGATTTAGTCACATTTCCTGTAGGTTTTGGGAGTATTTTTATTTTGAATTACACATAATTAGAAGTTAGGGAAGGAACCGTAATTTTTTCAGAGTTAAGCCTGTTAAAGGCTTAATCCAGTCTTCTATTTAATGTTCTGTTAGTCAGCCTTCTTCAGGTTGCAGAAACCAGATATGCTGTGAAATATACCTTACAGAGTACTTATTTTAAAGATTATCTGGGGAAGTAAATGCAATAGGCCAAGCCGCAGCATAGCCTCGCTGAGGAATGGGAATGGTGGTGCAGTGGGACTTCCCAGTTTCTGTCATTTGTGCCCTCTGCCTCCTGGCACATTGCATTTGCCTGTCTCCTCTTTGTTTTGCTTGGCTTTTGCCCCATTGTCAACTGCTGACTTCCTTGGGTGTACCTCATGTCTAAATTACCTGAGAGAAAGAAATCTGAGTATGCTGCTTTGCGGTAGAGATCTAGGATTTGTCCACCTGACAGACTTCTTGGTCAACCAGCTGATTGGCTACCTTTGGGGTAAGTGCCCCTCCCTGGTCCAATCATCTGCAGTGAGGGAGACCGGTGACCTGGGACACTCCCTGTTAGTTATAAGGAACCTGTTGGAAGAGGCTTGTAGTTATGACAGATACTATGAGTTGTTCCAAAACGAAGCATTGCAGTCAGCAGTCACTTTTCTCAGCATTACCTTTTAGGAAACCTCAGTTCAATAAAACCATAATCTGTTCTCTTAGTAGTTGCCTTGACATTACCCTCTGGGGAGGATAAACTTTTTTTTTTTAGTTTTTAGTTACAGAAATAACACAAACTTGTAAAATTCAAAATGTAGTAATGAACATCCTTGCACACATAACTTTTTACACATGTGTGGTTTTGTAGAATAGATAGCTGGAAGTGAAAATATTGGGTTGAGGTATGTTGTTGTTATTAATTTTGGTCGTTGTTATTTTTAGTTCTAATATATACTGCCAAATTTTTCTCCCAAGAGGTTTGTGTATACTCTTATCAACAAAGCGTGAAATTACCTTTTCAGAGAAAATTTATTTAAAGGTCATGTGCAATGGGGAAGTTTCAAACTTAAGATTCAGAAGTTAAAACATTTCAACACAAATTTTAAAATTAGTTTTAGATGATCAAGTTATATTTATCAAGTCAGTAAACTAACCACGTAGACCTTAGTACCATCCATTTAATGAGCAGTAGCTTAGATACTGGAGAGACATAATGAACAAAAGAGACAAGGTTCCTGCCCTCATAATGCTTACATTCACGTGGTTGGAAGCAGACAATAAACAAATTTCATATATAACACATATTGCAATGGCATGGGTGAGAAATGCCATGAAAAAAAATAAAGTAGGAAAAGATGTATAGAGAGATGGTGAGGGCCTTGGGCTGCTATTTCAGATGGGATCTTCACTGACAACTGTAACACAAAGATATTTGATCAAACTCAAGGGAGCGAGGGAGAGAACCGTGCTGGTATCTGAGGGAAGGACCATTCAAATCAAAGGAATAACGAACTCTAACCTCTCAGGATACTTATTAGGTAAGTTCAAGGAATTGCAAGAAGCGAGCATGGTTAGACCTTATTGAAGGATGGAAATTGCTGTAAGAGATTAGATCTAAGAGGTTTGCAGAGCCTTGTGGGTCAAAGTAAGGACTTTGGATTTATTTTAGTAGAATGGCAAGCCAGCGGAGGCTTTTGAACCATGGAGCGATTTGGTCTGATTGGCATTTTTAAAGGATCACTCTTTCTGTGCTGCTTGGAGAATAGACTGAAGGGGGGCAATCTGACTCAAATAACTGGTATTTTATTTTTCTCTTGAGAACATAACATTTAAATTCTTGTAAAATAGTTAAGTATCCTTGTTTATGACATGCATGATGACTACTTTGATTTGTTATTTTCAGTGACTCAGATAAAAGTAGTCACGTTATTTAT